TTTTTTATATTTAACATAAAAACAGTAGGACTAGGGGGACACAAATATAAATTTTGGGAAGAAAGGAGTCATCATCAGCTAAGACAGTTTTATTTTTCTAACAGGGTAGTTGGCCTTTGGAATGGGTTGCCTTCAGACGTTGTAGAGGCAGTAAATTTAAGTGAGTTTAAAAAAAGTTGATAAGTATATGAATGAAAAGAGCTGGGTTTAACATTCTTGTATTTTATTTGTTTAATCATTTGATTTAGTTTTGAGGATGGACCAATAGGTCCCATGTTGTCCCAAAATATTAAATATCTAAAACAGCAAAACCATAAATAAGAGAATTAAAGAAGCCTAGCAAATTCAGTTTCATAAAAATTTGCTTAGCATAACATTCACAAAAAGAGAAAAATAGATTTAAATAATTATAATTTTTTTCTTTACTTTTAAAAAATTCAGAAGTGTTCAGTTTTGACCTAATTAAACATTGCTGAATGAACTTACTCTCCTCATCTAAGAGATTCTATTCCACTACAATTAACATGGAGCTTTTAGAAATTACTACTTCAACACTTACAAAGTTTAAGAGATGTTATAAATCATCTACCTTAGGTCTAACAAACTAAATCGTTTTTCAGTTTAGAATACTTAATCAAGCATATCTGCTTTAGAAACATATACATTCATGATATGCAATAAAATGGAAAAATTAAGAAACTTTAATTAAACCCCAAATTTTACATACCAGATATAAAGTGCGAGCAAAAAGAGGAAAATTTTACATGATATTATAGACAATTTAAAAATACAAGGCAATTTAAGTGATGCAAAGTTAATACAAATCTGTACATGAATATTCTCAAATTTCTGCTTGAGGTATGAATCGCAACGTGTGTGAATCATAAACTTGCAAAACATTCATATCTAACAATTGTTCATATTTAGAAATAATGCAAAAATTTCATCAGAAATATTTACTGGAAGAACAGAAAAAAGTTAACTTTTGAAACTTAACCACTGGGAGCTAAAACTTTATCAACTTTCCATATAAAGTTACAAAAATCATTAAATAAATCAAAATACAATTTATATCCACAGAAAATTTATTTTATTGACTTTTAAGTTAAAAATTTCTTCAGAAGGTATATAAATGTAACTCTTTTAAGTTTTTTATAAACAGCTCAAGAAGCTCAAATCTTGAGGAAATAACAATGGAAATCCTTTTTTGGAAATATAGGTCATATTTTCACTTAATACTAGCTTATTACTCCAATCAGGTCTTAAAAAAATACAGTTAGTAAGACAAAGTTATAACTGCTTACACTGATAGTCAAACTGATAACAAAACACATCAAACTATAACAAACAAATAAAATATAATAAAAGTACAGAGGTACAAATTATTATAAAAACAAAACTAGTGAGATTACAATCACTGTTTTGGATCATTTTAAAAAATGTAAGAAAACAATAAATATGAAAAAAAAAACTAAATAGATATGACTATATCAAAATAATTTCATAATTCATTAAATAAGCTTAAAAAGATTCTTCATAATAGAAAATTCCTAGAATTCTTAGTCATTCAACACAAGCTTTACTAAAGATCAATGAATGAGTGACACAAATAACTCATAAGTAAATATAAAAAATATCAAAGAACAATGTACCTTTGATAACTACATGCTAAAAAATACATATTTATACAAGCATGCAAATATTACACATCATGCACGCAACTTTGAATGCAATATTGATAACATAAAGCATAACAATTCATACTAAAATTTACTCCAAAATACTACAAAAGCATATCTTACAGTTAAATATTAAAAACAGGGCTAACAGGTTGCTTTTGGAATGCTATCTTGGACTTACTCTCAGGTGCATAATGTGTACGATGGAAAAGTAGGCTAAATATAGCTAACTGATTTTTTGTAAATGTCTAAGTGCCACTAAATGAAATAGCATTTTTAAGCTGTAGTACCATGCAAAGCTAATCTAAAGCCATATCATGCTTCTCTTTCTGAACCTAAGTACTCCCCCAACTTGAGTTGTAGTAGTCAGTTGAGATGAGAAAATAAACCAACAGAATTACAGCATAGACAAAAGAGAAAGTCTACAACTGCCTTAAAACAGTCAACAAACCAAACTTTTATATGACAAAAGAAAATCAAATATCAAAGTAGTGCTTCTGTGACATTTGCAAATTTAGAAAATACTATTTTTACATATGAATATTGTTTATAACATTATTTTAGAACCTTTAAAAAGAGTATTGTTAAATATATAAACAATGATTCACCAGGTTTCCTACTAAAAAGTATGAAACACAACATGTACTTGCAGTACCAGGTGGTGTATGAAATTGGAATAAACTTATATAGAATTGTCAATTAAAATAAAAGTATACCTTCATAATATATTCTCTTTTTCTTTATGTTATAGTGGTTTTTCACATATTCATTTAGGATGTTTTATTTTTGCTTAATGTTTCGCATTTACTAGTCATTTCAGGGTTTTATTATTTCACTCCATCCACTGTATTTATTATTATTTTGTTTTTCTACCACTGGTAAGCTCAAAAACCATATGCTGGGCAAAAGTGTTGTTATATCTAACTGTTTGAAAAAAATTTTAAGTTAGAAAGATATACTTAAAAAGTGAGCATCTACCTTTATATAACAGACCCAATGTATTTCACATAAAAATGTAGATTGATATAGTAAAGTAGCTACAGAAATAATGATCGTTTGATGAGAAGGGTGAATGATACAGTTCAGGATTATAGTTCATGCCCTATATCAATGTATTTGTTTTGCTGTCATTTATGAATAGACTTATCAAACTTTAATAATAAAAATATGATCTTACCAAAATCGTATACATGTACCTATATGAAAAATTTTAACCTATTTAATATAAACTTGATGATAACTGCTTCTCATTTATGTTACTTTTTGTTATCACATGCAAAACGTAATGTTCAGTTACTCAGTACACATTTAGTTGTCTAAGTAAATATAAACACCATTGAATAAATAAGTTTGACAAATAATTTTGCTTAATCAAATCTACATAGACCATGTTATAAAAGATAATATTGTTATGTATCTGCTTGTTTGTTAATTTCTGATAGAAATTCTTTCCGAGGAACTTCAGTGATACAAGTCCTTTCTTGATTAAACCAGTTTATTCTTCCTTGATACAAACGTTTAGTACACAGTAATTCCACAGTCAGTACGTTTCTCGTCACTTTAAACTTAACAACTTTTACAATGCACACTATAAATCACAGCGATTCATAATCTTGATAACTTCGCTCTCTATAAGTGCAAAACACACACCAGCTCGAAACAGAATCATAAATTACCCGAAACTCACCATAACTACTGTTCGTTTTATCATACATTCAATCCTGCTGGCTTTTCTTGCCAGGCTTATATACTAACAAAGAGGCTTCTCCAAAATTCATGGGGTTCCCCAATAATTTTTCATTTTTTCAACCTTCATTCATATATAGATATACAAGGCAAAGTGAAATATAAGATAAATATAGATCAAGTATGGTATGCCAGCAGAAGAAATAAGGTGGGAAATGTGTTAAATTTTTTTTACATACATGAAACAAAAAACGAAGAGCGGGGGTTGATTTTTTTTTAAGAATTTATACTTGTAATGAAGATTGAAAAAAACCATGAGGGTGTGGGCTTATTGGTTGGTTAATTACACATGCTTCACTGAGCAGATCACATGATGATCTTAACAGCTAAAAAAAAACTTGTATTTATTGTACGAAATGTTGAGAAATTTTAATGACTAATCCTTAGATAAGTCAAAGCCCAGGCAAACTAGTAAAAAAAAAAAAAAAGTACTTGTTTTATACACCAAAAAATATGGTAACTGATTTTGCCCACATTTCCCAGACAAATACTTTTACAAACACTGACTTAAATCTCCATAGGTTGTGTGAGTTGCATTTGGTAAAAGTGAACCACCTGAAAAGACATACTAATGAAAAAATCAAAGCCAAATGAAAATACTAAAATGAATTCTTCAACAATGCTAAGGACAGGAGCACAGATTGAAAACACAAAATTAGAACTGTTTGGAAAACTACTTACAGCTCATATTATGAAATTAACATGTTGTATCAAAAATGTGTTACTTAAAATTGCTCACAATATGAAATCTGAAACTATTAGAAGGCAAAATAAAATATGTGGAAAGGTACGTGATCAGTAGATAAGAGGGATAAAAAATCTTCAAGCTATAACTTTTACTGGTAACACGTGGTTTAAAATGAAATTCTGAAAAAAAGTCACAAGCAAATATGAAATGATGCAAGTCAAATGCAATTCTGAGAACTCATAAAATTCCTTTAGATGATATTAATAATTTATCATATGGGAACACAGAATGAAACCTTGAAAGTGCATTTAATGCTTTAAAACAAGGCCTAGATCTGCAAAGCAAAAACTGCATAATTCTATTATGTATTAGATTTACTTACTGGTGAAATTTGGCATGTGTATAATCACTTATCCTGGTCATTTAATGTCAATTATATCTTACTTGTTTTAATGCCACATGTACAAATCTACTAAATGGATTGAGCAATTTAATAACTATTAATGGTCCTTAACTCTCCAGTTTATAATGTGTACTTATGAAATGATTAGTGATTCTTAATGGATGCATGAAACTTCAAGGGAGAATCACAAAACATTTCCCAGGATGTCTCAAGTAAACAAATACTTTTATTGGCTTTACTTTTATCACTTTAAGTAACCCTATCATCCTTAACCAAAGCTAAACAATACATCAATTATCATACAGTTACTGTTCAAAACTGAATGCTATACATAACTGGTAGTGTTTATAGTCAATATAACAACCTTACAATTTTTCTAAGAATGACCTTCACAGTAGGGATGTATATATATATATATAAAGCAATAACAGATATCAAGAGGTAATCAGTGGTTTATGCTACAGTCATGACAAGTCACAGTGCTCCAAATGTAGAAATATCAGCATTATTAAACCAAGTTTGTTAAAACAAGAAAAACTATACTAATTATTTTGTATTCTGTATATAATTCACTGGTTTGAACTAAATGATTTATGTAAAAATGGTGATACAACATACCACTTTGATTATGCAATTTGCATAATTATTGATGATGTATAAAATAATAAACTACCAAGTTCATTGTACATACAATTTCTTTTATTTACCAGTTGGATGTACACTCTTACTAATTTCCACTCTTTCATTTATCAATTGATAATGCATGCTATTAATATGGTCCATTATATTTGAAGTGACTAATTCAATTACACTAGAGTGCTGATTATCAGGACTAAATGGGACCAAGGGTGGTCTGGATAATCAAAAATCCAGATAATTTGATATTATTAAAAAAATCATATCTTCAACAGAAAAAAAATTGTATCTTGAATATATATTTTACAATATCATTAATACAGACAGTTAATACAAATAAAAATCATTTAAGGCATAAGTAAGAAAAGATTCCACTTACTTTTGTAATATGCACTCTAAACAACTGACTACATATCACTATTGAGTACATATGCACAATAATGTAATTTATTTATGACAAGAACTGAATGATTGACAACTGTTTCATGGAAGACTTCCTTTTTTTTTTGCAGCTAAATGTAAATATCTTTAGTTTTAAAAATTTGATACAGATAATCAGTGTTCTACCGTATTTGAATGTCTCGATAATTTGAAAGTTAACATTTTCCTACACTGAAAATGTATTTCCAATTGATTCTTACCTCCTTTCACATAATAGCTTTTCTCAACTTGTACTGCCCTCTATATGTACAAATTTTTGCTCACCACTAGTCTTGATACTCACAACTACTCACATATTTTCACGTAAGGCAGCTGCATTATAGCATACAAGTGAGCATGCTACATACCTCCACCAATAGTAGTGTAACAACTCCTAGCACAGCTGACTCTCTATGCAGCTCAGCTCAACTTCACTTGAAGATGGAGCAACATAAAGGGAAAATACACTGGAAGTGGGGAGAAAGAGAGAGAGGAGGTAGGAATCTATCAGAAATACATTTTCAGTGTAGGAAAATGCTAACTTCAGTTATGATATCTTATCTCTTCTCACATAATAACTAGAATCCCACATTGACCTGGTGGAGGGACCAGTGTAACACTACCTAGAGAAATTCCCTTCAGAAAGCACCCAAAGGAAGCCCATTGGGTGTATTAATAAAGGTTATGTAAAATACACACGTAGTAGACCACACCGCTTCTGAGCCAGGTATAATCTTTGCCCTTGAAAACAATATGTTAGAAGAAAAGTGGACACATAGGAGAGACCCCAGAAATTAAATGAATGGACCCTTGGTGTAGAGTGGCTAGTGCACAGTGGACATGATGGGGGAGTTCAACCTCAATCAACAGAACCATGATACAAATATAAAGCCCATGGCTGGAAGAAGGTCCTCTTTCATTAACCTCTGATACGGGGACTGGAAGGGAAGAAGATCATCCATTCCAAAGTCCCACATCATCATGTGTGCATGTCCAACAGAACTAACACCAGGAACCTACATCTGGACAACAGTAAGAAGGAAGACAGCAATGTGGCAGTTCAATTTCAGTCTAGAACCAGATAGCATCTGGAATGAATTGTGTCTGTGGTAAGAGGAGGGTACCTGGGGCACTCACTTTGGCTGGTCCAGCTCCAACCAACATTAGTACCCACCGGGAACCAACATCCAGGTGGAAGTATGAAAGAGGAAGCCCAGCAAGAGGGGTGTACTGCATTGTGGCAGAAATCATTCAGTCCATAACCAGGCAGCATCTGGAATAGTACATCAGGTCCACAGTAGGAGGAGTGTCTATACTCCATCTATGCTGGCAGAACACCCTCATCCTACTCTCAACTGAATGGAATTGAGCACACTCAGGAGGAAGCATCCATGGTCCACCACCTAATGGCTAGGAGCTGATAAGTTGTAAGGACTCCCATACTTCATTGGAAGAATGGTGGTGGTGGTGGGAGGGTTATTGCGTTGGAGAGTCTTGAAGAATGCACCACCAGAGACAGTGTTGCAATTTGTGACTGCAAAACCTTATTTTAAAAAGCAGAACGTTCCTGTTGGGGTGAGATAAATGACCTGCAACCAGATTCAGTCACCCAGTATATGACACATCATCAATCAAATGTGAGGACTGTGAGCCCAAAACAGAAGGTCCTATGTGTGGAATCAAAAATACCTCATTTGAGCTCCCCCTTGCTGAGTGATGTACAAGACAACCATTGAGTTGCCAAAATGGATCATAATCGACCAGTTCTGGAGAGATAGAAGTAAATGAACCAAAGCCAAACAAACAAGAGATTGATATGTAGAGATGACTTCATGACAGATGAACATCCTGAAATCTCCTGCATGTGCAAATACGCACCATAACTCAAAAGAGAAACATCTGTGAAGAGGTGCAGCTATAGATGAGAAGGAAAAAGAACGCCCACTGAGGTGTTGTCTCTGTTCTACCACCAGGTGTAGTCCACATGAAGTGAAAGAGTGTGATGGATTGGGGCATCCAAGGATCCCAAACAAGTTCTACTGATCTTGTAAAGCCCACTGAAGAGGTTGCATTTTGGTTCAACCAGGGGGAGTGAGGGCCTAAGAAGAAGCCCACATCCCCAAAAGAGATAAAATTTCTCATGCAGTTAGAGAAGGAGAGGAGGAAACAGTCTAAACCAGAAGCTCCTCAGATTGCAGGCAAAGGGGAGAAGGTTGGACTTGGCTGAGATGGAAATTGAAAAATACCCAGAGATGAACTAGCTATTAGGTGGGGGAGAGGAAGGATTTCTCCACCTGCACCAGCCAACCTAACCATGTGCAACTTCTTGAAGAAGAAACTAAGTGTGAAGGTAAGAGGTAACATGACAAGTTAGAAACAGCCAGTCATCCATTTAATGGTGGAAATGAATGTCCCAGGAATGGAGAAGACAGGCAAAGCCTTTGATCACCCAACAAAAAACATAGGGAGCTGAAGCCAGCCTGAATGGAAGACCCCAAAACTAGTAGACACAACCCTGATAGACAAAATGGAGAAAACGTCGAGTTGCTGGGAAGCTGGGAATGTGGAGATAAGCATCCAAGTCATCTACCTTCATCATCCAAAGAGCAGGAGTGAAAGCCCAACGAAGAGATAGGTATGACTACATGGTGAATCAAGGAAGGTTTAGGAAGCAGTTCAAGGAAGAAAGATCTATGACAGGGCACCAGTCTTCTTGGGGACGATGAACAAACCGGAATAGAAACCTGGCTGAGAAGGATCCACCCATTCCAGTGCCCTTGTGAAGAAGATCTAAAACTGTCTTGAAAAGACACTGGCTGGAAATGTGATCCCAAGGAGGGGGAAAGATATGGGATGAGGGGTACAGGAGAGGAGGGGAACTGAAACGAAGAATGAGCCTTTCAGAAATAACTTGCAGAACCCAAGGGTCTGTGGTGAAGGACTCCCATATGATGACAAAGGGTAAAAGCTTGGCCCCCACTGGACCTGTACCTATCACAGGACTGCTGGAGGCACTGAAGTTATTGATGAAAAACCCAACAATGAACCTCAGAGACTTATGTAGCAGGAACCATTAAAGGAGAAGAAGGAGAGGGACAAGACACAGGAACAGGTTCAGGAGGAGGTTGAGACAAATGGGAAGCCAATGAAGAAAGAGAGGTGTGCAACTGGCAGACTTGACTCTGGACTACAAAGAGTCAGGAAGACCACCAAAGACATCTTGTCTTAAAGAGGTAGCCATATGCAAGTCCCATAGAGAAGTTGGGGCTAAACAGACACAGGACAAAAGGGTGTCCTGACTCAAAAGATCCCAACAAAGGAGAAGTCACATTTGGAGTGAAATGGCAGAAGAGGACAACTGTGCAGAGTGGAAAAAATCAGAGCATGAGTCACAACTGAAAACCCCTCAGGGGAACAATGAAGAAGGTGAATCAAGAAAAGGGAATGAAAGAGGGAGGGTAAAGTAGGGCAGACTTGGAAAAATTTCATGAAGTAAAGCATAACCAAAAAACATGTCTTAACATCATGAGTGCTAATTAAGAAGTGAAGTTGAGCTAGGGTGCATAGAGGAAGTCAGCTGTGCTAGGAGTTGTGTCACACTCTTATTGGTGGAGGGCTGTTGCATGCTCATTTGCATGCTATAACACAGCTGCCTCAGGTGAGGATAGGTGGAAGTATCGAGGCTTGTGGCAGAGCAAAATTTTGCACATATAGAGGGCAGTACAAGTCGAAAAAAGCTATTACGTGAAAAGCAGTAAGATATCATATCAGATTAACTACTTCATTACAAATGCACTGGTTTCACTAAATAAACTTACCAATACAGAATGGTTAACTAAACACTTTCTGGACCAGTGGGAGTGTCATCAATACCCCTTACTTTTTTCCATCTCACAGTAGAAGTTATAAGAGCATAGTTAAGAGAGCATAGTTACTAAATAGTATGTAGTTTTGTTCTGAAACACTGTTTCAAAATAACATTTAAAATACTTCCTTTCATTTTAAAATCTCAATTTCTTTTTATGTTGATCAGAAAAGTTCATTTCACATATCCAATTAATTTCAACTTGATTGATATTCATTAACCCTCTCACTATGGGAAGATCAAAGTGTGCATGTCACAACCTTTTACAGAGTTACATTCAAAATTTAATTAAACTACAATATTTTCAATGTATACAAAAAAACAAACTTGTCATCAAAATACAGACAATAAATCAAGTTTTAATATTATACAAGTTTTCAATTCTAGAAGGAAACATGAAAAGGAAGGTTTTCCAGTGTAAAAACTTCACAAAGGCTGTTAAAACCACATGGGGGACATTCTGGGCTATACACATAGAGTGAAGTTGGTGTATGTAAGCAAGTATTTTCAAAAATAGAAGATGTGGGTGGGGCACCATGGTTCATTCACTAAATATAATAATATCTCAGAAAATAGAAAAGATAGGAGGTTCTTATTGTAGCTTGTCAATATTGGTAATTTGAGTTTGTAATTCGTAAGAAACTATATACTTTGTAGTTAGACATCACAAATATCTAACTCGAACCAAAGCTGCATTCAACATACCAAGTGACACACAAAAATTGATATTTAGGTTTTTTTAAATATTTACTTTTGCATTAACCAATTATTTAATATATAATACTAAAATTTGAATTATAATCTACAACTTGATACCAAACGTATTGATGTACAATAATAAAATAGTAGTTGAATAAAATTTTGAATACAAGTCTATAAACGTGATGACATGCCCTTTGATCCCTGACCATAAGAAAGCCCGTCAAGATAGAGTTAAAGTATAATATTTGTAGGACATTGTTTGCTTTGTGCATGTTATTATTCTGTGTTCTTGGTGCATTATTTAAACAAATACAAAATATTTAGTATACTAGTTGTACCATTATGAAAATAAAAGTAGGCTTAAATTTCATCAGCAATCAACATTAAAAAATAAGAGGTCAAATGTAAGTACTATATCTATTGTTTTTCATGTGTATTCTTTACTAATGGTTATAAAAGTAATAAAATGAAAAATTAGAAACTTATTAGGTTAGATTAGGTAAGATAATAAAAAAAATTCTTCAGATAATATATGATCATGAGCAGCTTGTGATTTAAGTTATTCAATTAGGTAACGTGAGTTATGCATTCATCGAGTGATTTACAACTCGTGTGGTAGGATTATTTGTTAGACATGGTTCAAAGGGCAATCTTATATATATTGCAAACTGTGGTATTTGTCTCCAATGTATGACAGCCATTTCCTGTGCTATGTTTGATAAACTGCACATGCAGGCAAAGCTCAACATTCACTTTTGAAATGACAGAACAGGCATGAATAATGTTGATGTCAAATTTTATTTAGCAAGCAGAATATTCTTCATTAAACTGTTAGGAATTAATCACACTAGCATTCACATGTCAAAATCTGACATAACTTAAAGAATAAAAATGTAGATTTACCATATTATTGTTGAGCAGCTTTTAGCGTGACTGAAATGCCCAACAATTACTTTTCGCAGTGGGTGGTATAAATACCTCAGAGCTTTGGTTCTGAGTAAAACCAAAAAGTGCAACACAACCTTTTTAAAGTCCATAAAATAATTTAAATTGATAGATTAACTTAAACTTTTCCCATCATTAGGGACAGGTACTTTTGCTTGTAAAACAATAAAATTAAGTACAAACATATATGGAATATTATGACCCTTAAGCTATTTAGAATAAACAATTGTAGTTTTCTGTTACAACCTGCAGTCATTTTCAGGAATGGAAAAAGCATCTGAAGAAACTATGAAAATATTCTCAGATCTGTGGCTTGTTGCTAAGAATTCTGAACTTCTTACAACATTTCATTATTCTTTTCTGCTCAAGCTATGTCTTGTCATTTTCCCATATCATAAATTACTTCTCATACCACTTTATTCATTGGACACCAATATAAATAGTTTATAATCTGCTCTACCCAGTGGTACTTAAGCTGTGTGTGTAGCCTTTTTGAAAGCTGAATTTCATTAGCAGTTGTTAAATCATCTACTCTCATCAAAGGGTGGAAAATGAGAGGCCGTACTAATAAAGCTTGGAGAACGAGAAGAGAAAACATGCGAGGAACAGCAAATTGATAACTATATTGTAAAAGGTGGTAATTTCATAGCAAATATAAAACTAATAAAATTCATAAGTGCATTGTTTACAGGCAAGACTCCTAGCAGCTGCACAGAAATATTGTTTCTCATTCTTCTTTGCAAATTACAATGAACTTTCTCTCTACATGGGCTTGGTTGAATTGACTGACCATGTGACCACTTTGTAATCATTTAAAATCATTATAGTTTTTATATTACTAACTTTTAATGAACTAAGAATATCTTCACAAAAGGTTGCAAACTTTCAGTAAACATTATAAGATTATCAGATTTTTTTAGTGAAGTATTTTTTTAATAAACTAATCTGTGTGCAAAGTAATTTTCATGTTAAGATTAAAAATACTTTTCTTTACCCCAAAAATCTCAAATTTCATTTGCATAATCTCTAAAACCTCCTAAATACATTTCAAACCTTTGTTTTCAGTAAAACTTTATATTTTAGCTGATATTTTTTCTACCCTAACTGTTTCTATACAAGATTGAGCAATTTGAAGTAATCTCATAACCACCAAAAAATCTAAATTACCCTTTCATTTCTTTCTAGAATGTCTTCAAATTGTAACATGAAACTACTTTCACTTATCCTAAGTAGCATTAACCTCGTAACAATATACATATAATTCTACTTAAATTTTATTGCCCCTGAACCATGTTTAACTATTATTTGCACCATTATAAGTTGTAAATCACTTGGGGAACATGGATCTCACGTTACGCTATTGAATTACATTACCCATGAGCTACTCCGAGCTGCTCACATTTGTGCCTCTTGAAACATTGTTATTATATTATTTTACCTAATATAACTTTGACCTAAAGAGATCCTATTTTTTGCATTTTAGTTACTTTTATAATAATAAATAAAGAATACACAAGAAAAACCAGAAATAAAGTACTTACTCAGGTATTCTTTTTTTGCTGTCAATTGTCAATAATACTTAACCCTACTTTTTTATGCTAATAGCAGTAATGCACTAAATACTTATTTAATTAAATAATACACCAAAGAACATAGAATAACAACATGCAAAAAGCAGAATATGTCTTAACTATTAAATTTTTCTGGCTTTCTAATTACGTGACAAGAGCCATTACATATTCATACATGCTAGTCGTTATCTTTCTCATGGGAATGAAGCTTGTAGTAAAAGAGAAATTGACAATTCTCTGTTCAGAAAAAATGTAACATAATACGTCATTTGATAGATGAAAACATTGGCTTTCTATTAGTTACAAATAATATAATATTAAATGTAAGAGAAAACTATTAACAAATCCTGAAAAAGAGGATGTGACAGGTGGGTGTAGCAAGAGGGCTCGGATTTTATATTTGATGGATATGTAACCAAATAAAATTGAAGACTATAAAAATTATGGTTTGTCAGAATAATGACGATTTTTATAGTGAGTAATTTACATTAAATTTCGTACTTATTGGAGGAGTTTGGATAAAATAGAGAAGATGGTGTGCCTAGAGAAAAAAATGTCACATTTCTCACACTAAGAGAAATTCAGGATTTTTTTTTATATTGCCTTATAAGATTAAAAACTTAAACTTACATACAATTAAAATATGGATTATTAGCTATGATTTTATGCTATACTAATTGGTGTAACATAAACAACAAGTAGTTTAACTAAATTTTAATGTAAGTCACTATAAATCTCGTAACATGCGCAGGAAAGGATGCCCGTTACGAAAGGGTTAACATTACAAAATATCAATTGTTGAATCAGTTACACTTAGTTTTCTTGCATAAAATTTGAAATGCAGGTGTGCTCTCAACTAATGACAAGTGGTCATCAGCCCAGAAAGGGTTAATCTTAAACAGCATTATCAACAAAATACTAAAAAACATATATCAAATATGGAAGAGGTGATTAAGATTTCCAAGTTATTAGGAATGATGTAGAAAGTTCTGTGTGATACTTTGGTAGTTTTTATCATCAAGTTTCACAAACACATACACATACAAACTTTTGAAAATGAGTGCCCAAAACAAGGTTTACACTTTAATTTGTTTAAAAGAAGTCTGATTAATTATGTGTTCATATATTCTAATTTTTTTTTTTGTAATTAACCTTATTTTTGCATTGGCAAGTTTTCTGACTAAATTTCCATTACTAAAATACAAACAAAATTTCCTTTAATATAGCCAAATGTATCAATAAGTACATATCCAATTTTTCTAAACAAATCAGGTATAAAAACCCATTATAGAAGAAGTCTGTTTACCACATAATTATCTGTTTGTTTGAGTAAAGGGATTTAAACAACCATGTGTTCAGTATTTATCAATATATAATTGCTGAATTTGTATATTATTTTGGTAACGAAATTATGTGTGTAATATCTGCTATTTCATTAGTAAATGAAGATCCTAGTTTAAAACTGACCATTACACATACATATTTCTATTTTACGTGAGCTATCGTACTTTAGCTACACACTAAAGTCTGTCTGAACATGAGAAAGGTTCTGAACATTATTTGGCATTAAGACATGCACAGCCTGAAAGTGCTGACATGCATTTATGTTTAATGAGAAATGAAAAACCAAACAAAATAAAGTATATAATGAACCAAAAATTTAACTGGGTACATGCCTTCTTTTTCTCATATTGGCGATAACTGTCCTGTAGGAAGAAACAACATACTACGTCAACCAGCCTGCCAGCAACATCCATCTACTGAAAACTGAGAAAGTGTAGTGAAGCAATTCCGTGCACCATTGCCTTGTAACACTTATACATTTCCAACAATGTTACTACAGTATGGAAAATAAGCCTTATATAAGCAAAAGTACAAAATTACACCAACAAAGCTCCCTAAAATATATCTAACATATAGTTAGTAAACTTTCACAGCGATATTGTTACCATGTCATTGAACTATTACGTAATTATAAAGTAAAACTTATTCCTGTTACACCATATCAGGGCAACACATCTAAACCTACAACAATGTCACTACAGTATGAGAAGCAGCCTTACATAAGCAAAATCAAGTGCAAGAGATAATATGCTAATAAAGATTGTACAATGTAACTGATAGACAGTTAGTGAAATGTCTTTGTCAATGCTCTTATTGTTTTTTCAGTGGAACTTTAGGCAGAGTGTATATATACAATAGATTAGAGAACTTTAAACAACTGCAACCACCTGTTGAATGAAAAGGGGACAACATTTCGACTTCTCTACTATGTCTACTCTGCCTAAAATTCTACTGATACAGCAGAGGTACCTTAGAAATCACAACAGATCTAATCAAAATCTTCTTTACCAGTATTATTAAATTTAACCACAACATCATGATGCAAAGGTGAGGTACTTTAGAAATCACAACAAAAAAAAGGTCTCAGTATAGAAGCTGAAATTTTATGCCTCTTTTCATTCGAAAGCCAACTACAGTCCATTAAAGTTCTCAAACTTTTCACAGTGTTCAAAATAAGACTTACAGATTGGGTTGTCCGGTAAAAAAAACCTTTTGGTCAATTATGGTTGTCCAAATAAACTATAGTTGTCCACACTTGAATGAACAAGTTAGTTGACTAATAAAAATTGGTATTACACTGTCCTAGATCAAATATACTAGAAAGCTCATTACTTGATAGAAAATCATGATTTTATTGAGTAATTTCGTGAGCAGAACATGACCCCTTTCTCTTCATCATACTTTATCCATGAACAGCCACTTTGCCAGGAACTTTGGAATGTTCTTTTGCATTTGTTTAGATCATATTTTCTATCTTCCTCTCTTTTCAAAAACTTCATTCTACTTTATCTTGAGCGTCATCTTTGACACAAAGTTAAAGTGAAAAAGTGGTGCTTGCTTAACCATTCCAGATTTACAACTTACATCAAAAACAAAAAAAACTATGTTATAAATGGAAGAAATGAATGTGGTATTATCAAACTCTTTTGTGTGGCAATCTGTTATTTGTTGTAAATTGTGACAGGTTTGAAGATGTTATAACAAACACTCTTGTTGGTAAACAGTGTGTGTGTGTACATTCTTGATGACCATGTCCTCCAAGAAATTGAAATATGGTGTGTATAGACATACTACTTGCAACTTATATAGTGCCATGAATGTGGCAATATGGGTTAAGTGCCAAGACAGCCATGGGATCAAGTCAAGTTGCAGTTTATCATACAGACAACTTTGTAGTGCATTTGATTTGTATGGTGATAATTCTGGTTGTTTTGAACAGCCAGAAAGCACTTATTTTGAACACTGTATCGGTACTCTTAATACTGTTATGAAATAATTGTAAATTATGCTATAAAAGACAAAGGTTTAGAACAGTTAAACTACGTATAAAAACAGATTCTATGATCAATACAAAAATTTTTATAATTAAATAATGAGACCAAGAGTTTCATGTAGGGTAAAGTTTAAGAAATGTGTTTCTTCTAATCTGACCCTGTGTGTTTTTATTGTTAAAACCACTAATTTTTTTCTTGATAAAGTAAATTAGTAAAATATGAGGAAAGTCTAATTAAAAATTGGAATAACCTCACTAAATATTTCCAAAATAAAATAATAAATACTTAAATATTAACATATATTTCCAAAATGTTGAATATCTAAAAATAAATAGTAATTCATTTATATGTATCACATAGCTCTAGAAACATCAAAAGAGATAAGAGCAATTTTTATATTTTGAAGACAAAACATTCTATTTTACTATTTATTCTATAGGGCAGTGCAGTGATAACTAAACAGTCCAATTGCATGCAAGTAAAGATTTCATTTGGCCTTCTGCTAACCACAAATTTAGAAAGTTAGTTGGTTTTAAAAGACAGATCACATACTGAACTGTTGTTTTAGACTTGTGCCATGATCGTACCTACAGCTAGCAGGAGCCTATATGATAGTTTGAGTTATTAAAAAAGTACCTTATTAGCAACTGCTAGTGAGTTAACCCTTTAACTTACTTGGTATAGCATTCATCTAGGGCAGGGGTCTCCAAACATTTTTGGACAAGGGCAGGGAGGTAGATCTTTTTTGGCTTTGCGAGCCGGAGGGGTCGTGGTAAAATTAAGAAAGGATGCATACATGATCAGAATACAACATCACTAATTTATTTCTCATAAGAGCACATATTGAAATTATTTAAGATGCACAATAGTCTTTTTTTTAGCATTAGTGAGAAGCATGAAACTGGTGCTTTTCTGACAAAATTACACAGGCCGTATATTGCAACTAGATTAGCTTTTGATCAATTAAGTTTTATTTTCATAATATTATAAAATTATATTATTACTTTAATAAACTGTTGGCAGGACTGTAGTTTGGAGACGCCAGATCTAGGGTGTGAGCAGTCCCAGGTTTAAGTTTTGTACAAGGAAGATGCAAGAGTTAAAATTACAACAAGAAAAACTGTTGTTCAACTAGTGGTCTTTGCCAACCCTGAGATAAAGCCTAAGGATGAACCTTCACTGTGAGTTTGGAAGAATGTGGTAGTTTGAGTTGGTTAAAAAAAGCACCTTACTAGCAACTGCTAGTTGGTTAACTTTTCAACTCAGTTGGTAAAGCACCTCCCCTTCTAGTGCAAGTGGTCCTAAATTCAAGACAAGTGTGGAGAAATAAAAGTAGATTACTACAACTGCATTTAATGTAGCTTTATAATTTTAACATAAATATAAAAATATAATGAAGATTTCAAGACCAATCTAAATTTTACAGCTACCTTATTGATGAGTCTTCTATATTAAACTAAAACTGACAGTACTACATGTTTCAAAAGCATAAACATCAGAAGTTTCACATCTATACAATATTTGTTATTTAAGCAGTAGTTACATAGCTACAATACTAAGATTATCTACTGTGTAAGAGATAATGTAATTAATACTTGCAATTGTTAGAATGGTACCATATTAGAAGGTTACAAGATAATATCATAAACAAAACATATCATCTGTTGCATACTGACAATAACATAACTATCTTCTATGACCAAGACATTATTTAGATTACAAGAAACAAATATTACAAAAAGATGTTTTAAATTGATGAAATAACAGTGGTATGATCATTTTATTTATTAATAAACACCACACTATGACAGTAATGCAGTGTTAGAAAAAACAACAAAATACAGTTCTATTAACTCTCAATACGGGCTTGGTCCCTGGGACCAACCACGAGACCATTTTTACTTGTATTAGGTTGTCAAGAAATTAATGTTGCATTTTGGAAGACTTTCATTAACCATCCCCCAAAAACGTACATCATGTATAATAGTTAAATGAACCACCTAAACGTCATGTTAGTGTAGCCTGTATAATGTGCAAAGTTTAGTATACTCTAAACCCTTATGGTGATGGCACACGATGAGACACACATTCAGCATGTAATGCTGTTTGGATACAAAAAGGGAAACAATGCCTCTGTAGCCACAAAGTATATCAAAGAAGTTTATGGAAATGTTCTGAATAATCGTAAGTGTCAACGATGGTTCAACAAAATTCTTTCAGATGACTTTAGCTTTAAAAACTGTGATGGCAGGGGCCAACATGTTGGAATTGATATTGACGCTCTGAAGATGCTTGTTCAGTCTAACTCAAGGCAACACACTTGCGAACTGGCCCTGAAATTGCATGTCTCTCATGAAACAATGTGTAAACATCTAAGGAATAAAGGTGTTTAGGTGACTCACAAACTCTCCGACGATTATCATCATTTCCAACGTGTAAACGTTGCTTTGTCTCTTCTGGTGCATAATGCACATCCACATGTGGCATGTTTGATGCAACACAAGATTATGGAGTTGGG